TAGCTTTCCGTATGCTTAGAACATCCTCGTAATTTCAGGTTCGGAGGAAGCTTCAACTTTTCAAGCACACTGTCCAGGGTAGGGTGGACACCTCTCCGATGGGTGAATTCCCTCTTTGCATCGTTGTTTCTGCGCACCGTCTCTAGAAACGGCCTCGGAGGCTGAGCGTCCTCTGCTGGTGCGTCCACTCCTCAACTTCCGACCCGCAATAGAAGAACTGGAGATCGCCGCCGTAGTTACACTTCCACATGCCTATGGTTACTGTCTTCCCACCGCGTCCGTATTAATATCAGGCAACCACGAATGGTGAGCCTTTTCCCCCCGCCTTTTCGCGACACTTGATGACTCTTCCTGCCTGCGCCCTGTTCTTCGCCATTTTGGGATTCGGTGTGCCCCTTCAAGCTTGATGGACTGGCTTGCTAAGTCTTGCTTTCTAGCCCGCGCTCAGACCCTGTACGATGTCTCGGTCCCCGTGAACTCGGCGACGCCAGAGGATCACGAGGTCGCCTACGACACGATTTCTCTCTCTGCCGCTGGAGTCGGAACGGACGGCGCAACCACCTACATCGAGCAGGAGATCGAAAGTGAACTCCTTTTCGTGGGTTCTACGACGACGGAGACGCTGCTGAGCACTCCCCTCACTATGACCGGTCCGTTGACGCATTCCACTAAGTTCCCGTGATATCTAAAAACAAACCAGCCACCCTCGTCGAGAACGCCTCCGGCGCTCTTTGGAGTGGCCCCGTGGTGATTTGCAGCGGCGGTGGCTGCCAGGTCGACACCTCCGCCGGCCCTGCAGTACAAACGTGTGCTTTTGGGACAGACGGCTACGGTACCTGCGTGGACAGATTTCCGTACTTTTCAGGAGGCATCACCTTCTCTGGCGCCGTTGTGCCCTACTACACCCTCAATGCTGCCGCGGCCGCTGTCCCTCCGAGCGCAACGGCCTCGTCGCATATTGGCGCAATCGTCGGCGGTGTTGTGGGAGGGGTGTTACTCGGCCTGTTGGGGGCGGGGTTTTTGGTTTGGCGGCGGAGACAGAGGCGGTGGCGGGCCATTGAGCATGGATCCTCGAATGAGATCGGTGAAGGACCGCTCATGACAACCCTCTCGAGGCCCTCGGTACCCACACTGCTGCTCGTCCACGACCGGAGCGACGCGCCTGCTCTGCCAGCGGATGGATCCACGCCGAGCATCGGTGCCCCAAGCCCAGGTCATCTCATCCCTCCCCCATCCCCGAGGCTCGGTAGCCCCAGCTCGATTCCTCCTCCCATCCCGGCGAGCACTCGGCCCAGCCTCCGCGCCGCTGGCCCAAGCCCGATTCCGAGCTCTGCCCAAGAAAGTTCTCGTTGGAGCCTCATGGATTTGAAGCGCGCACAGACGACTGGGCTTCATCAATACGATGATCCACACACCGCACCCGACGAGGTGGTAGAGACCTCTCGAGGGCTGGTGCTCTCTGCGGGCCGGGGCCCTGGACCATCCCCAGTGGATACCAAACTTAGTACCACCCCTTCCCCCAGCTCGCCAAAGAGCGCCATTCACTCAGCACCACCGACATCCTCGGAGCCGAAAAACGTGTTGCAAGAACTGAAAACGCTGCGGGAGGAGATGCGGCGGCTGGAGAGTGGGAATGTCCTGCGCGAGCAGGCACTGCGGGATGAGATACGACGCTTGGAGGTTGGGGCGCCGCCGAGCTATGCCTGACGGGCGGAACTATGTACAGTTTTGTATCACACTCGTTCAATTACACTCGTTTATAAGAGTTCGTCGCCGACAAGGAGGGGTAATTCGCGGATTGATGGGAACTGTGATATACTCCCACGGTTGAATTCGAGACATGTTGAAATGTTCGTTGAGTTCGTTCATGGAACTACTGCGATACAAGTGTCGTGAAACAATTGGGCTTGATGGATTTCCGAACATTCAACTCGCCAGTCTGAATCATAACTTCGCATGCCGTCCAACGATTCGGCAGACGTTCATACGAAACCGAACATGTCCGAAATGCCCAACACTCAGTTGAACCCGGTGATTCCAGCGTAGTTTATCTTGTTTGCGGCGCCTCCTATAACCTTGAGTCCGGCCCAGTTCCACGTTCCTGTGTCGTCAGTCGTCGTGAACATTTAATCGGTAGGAATCGCTAAAGCAAGCGCACCCTGGCAGGAGCCTGAACCGCAATTCACCGCGACAGGTGTGACGCCCGATGCCATGGTGAGTGTGTTTGTGCCCACGAAGTTGATAGCCTGGAGTCAAGTCCGTCGGTTCAATAGATACCTGCAGGATGAAAAGGGTTGAACCGACCGAGAGGATTATGCCACTCCCTGGTGCGCCGAGAGTCGCAGGGTAGCTCTATGAACCAAGTATGGACTCAGTGGTGGGCATAAGAATAATGACCGAGGACCAGAACCTGGTCGATGAGGAGCCCGAAATTGGTGACTCCAGATACCCTGTTTCCCGAATAGGTTATGCCGGAGACGCTCCCGCTCGTTGCAGTCGCGACTGTTTTGATTCGTAGACCATTTGCTCTGGTGAAGATGAGGAGAGCAAGGGAATCAAGAGAATATCGATGCGCACCCGCTCGTAAGGACATTATTGCTGATCGTGACATTCGAGACGATATCTCCAGTGTCGACCGAGCCCTGCACAATTAAATAAATACCGTGCAAGGGAAGAAGACGGAGGTTTACAATCGAGATCCCGTGTCCGCCGGAGCAGTGGTTGTTGGAGAAAACAATACCTGTGCCGGAATTAATGGCGACACAATCGTCCTGGTTCATGACAGTGCTGTTCCGTCCCAGGCGATTCAGAACCACTCAAAATACAATGGGGAATTTGGACGCACCAGCCCGTGATAGTTAGCGGTGCCTGGTTCCCAACGTCAAACCCGTCTGTGTTTGCGCCGGCGGGTTTGCCGGCACTCATAGCGTTCGCCTGATCACCAAAAGCTGGGGTATGCAATCTCGTTAGTCCTTTCCGTGCCAGGGATACCAAGTCGAAACGGAAAAAGTTGGTCCTCACAATCGTCGATAGTGATAGCGGAGATGGTCAAAGGAGCCGCATTATCGATACTGAATGCTTGAGCGGGAGAGTTGAGAATCTTGAGGTTCTATCGCGTCTCGGCTCAGGATGGCGGGGTCTGAATTCTGAATCCAAATTCATACTGTGAAGGTTCCAGATGTCTTGACCCTACGAAAATATCAGTCGAACGAAAAGGTAGAGGCGGCGGGGGACGGACTTCATCATCGGGCGCGGCTTTGTGATGGCGCCGCTGCTAGAGCCTTTACCGTCCTACGTGTTTAGTTAGGTTCAGAAGATGATATCCATCCGGAGGCGGCGAGTACCCAGTAGAACTGCCCGTTCCCATTGAAGGTGTGGCCATTTCCATTGACTGTGACCCCATAAGTACAAACCAGTTGGAGGTACATTTAGCACCTACAAGTAACGTTGGAGCCACTGTGAAAATGATGAGGAATGTGAAACATTCGAACGTGAACCAAGTGAACCTAATCGAGAAGAGTGGTCCAGCCCAAACCTTCTCCCCAAAGGTGATGTCCCCGACTGGATAAAATACTTGAGCAGTGTCCAGTTCAGGGCAAACGAGAGACGCGACTCACGAATGTTGACAGTCGTTCCGGCGAGTAAGGCGAGCGTGAATGTTTGCCCAGCGGTCACGGTAAAGCTATTGACGTTGATGGTCGTGCAAAGTACAGCGGCCGGTACGTCGGCGAGCGACGAAATCGTGCCAGTACAAGCACGAGCAGCGGCGGAGAGAAGGGCTATGACTAGAGTTTGAGTGAACATTATTCGTCGTGGAGGAGAAGCCTGAGGTTGGTTCCACCAGCTGACGCCAACCCCAGAAATGGCTCGTGGGGTCCGCGATCCACTGACTTGGTCACTGGATCGCGAACGCCCGGCCCGCCAGAGCCGCTGGCCGAGCTTATTCCGAATCACTGCGTTTCCTGCAAATTATCTTCCCGGTGGATAACCCAATAGATATTTCATTTTCTGCTCATTATCTGCCTGTCAGACACCCGAGGAATCAGCTGGCCAAAACCAACGAATAAAGCATCCTTTTCACATCGAATCAACCGGCTGATAATTGAGATTTCGCCAACAATCCTCGAGGTAGATACCTTGAATATATTCCGGGAGACAACCGTCTAAACTCCAGGCTTCAACCGGTCGATAACTTGGTTTTTGCTCACTGTTCACAGGCGGCAGCCTTACACCGCACGTTGCACATTGTTGCATACCACTCATCATTCAATGCAGCATAAGAAGTAAGCAACTCAAGTCCCTCAAAAACTGAGTTGCAACAAGGAGAACTATGTGGTTCATTCATGATTTACACGAGGACAAGTGGTAATAGTAGTACGTAAATCTCAATCGATACAAAGTCCCCGAAAGTGCTAGGTGAGAGGGGGACTGTGAGGAGGAGGAAGAGGGCATGCTTGTATGCGACACGAATTCTTGACTCGAGTTCTTTTAAGTGAGTCCCAGGTGCAAAGTTTTGGATGTTATCTGGAGAGGATATCCAAGGTGTACTACAGGCAGATTTCAGGAAAGATAGTGTAGGTGTCGGACATGGTGGATAGTGATTGAAATGCTCTAGGATATCAGCCAACTACCTGGAAGATAGTTAAGATATCCCCCGCCACAGACATCTCAGCTGTCTTCCAGCGGACACCTGTTGACAGGAACGGATACTGTTCAATAACGGTGGATAGTTGACGTGTCTGGCCTGGTGGATATTTTGCACAAAACGCAGTGAATCCGAGTTTCTACCCAGCTGGTAACTGCGGACAAGCCAACGACCGAAGTCAATCCAGAGATTCAGACTTTTGGCAACCGTACGAACGCGTTCAACTCGGTTCAACTTTGATCCAACTCCAACCTGTTGTTTTTGGATTGTCGCGAACGATCCTCGTTCAATTCCCTTGGGGGCTGCAATCTCACCGCCCTCCGCCATCCTCCTTCTCCTCCCTCTACACGCAACGACCACCATAGTCAAGCGGTAACCCGCTCGCTGCGGAGTAAAGTCCAAAAGCGGGCCAGCAGAGGTTCGACTCCTCTCGGTGGCACAACATAAATCCAAATGAATCCCTACTGGCAGTGGCCGCACCGGCGAATCATTTCTCCCACGGCGACCTATTCAGTCGCATGTACTATTTTAGCCCCTGATGTGTCCATGCACCCCGAAGTGGAATATTTCGTGATTGCTCTGTCAGTTCAGGCCAGAATCCTTCGCAAAAATGATATGTGGCTGCCATGGACCACTCCAATGCTCCCCGAGAAATTTGGATTTATTGTGCAGGAAATGAGCCCTGCAGAAAATCGTGACCTCCCAAAAAGCTGATTTTCCATCAAAACACCTTCCACTTCGACAATATCTCTTTCCTGAGAGCGCCTTTGACCTCAGGAAAAAAGGAGAGCAATCCTCTATGTACTTTCCTCGATTACCGATGCTTAGTTTCAGAACAAGGCAAGATTTCTTGTCGCAACGAGGGCCGCAATGTAGTTTCCACATCGAGGTTCAAACGCAGCCATCAAATCGGCATCGGCGTCGTAATTCCTCGCGCTCCCGAATTATTCTGAAACCTCTACACAATGGGTAGTTTTAGCCAATGGATCGTGCCAGATAGTAGTCGAGGGACTACAGATAGCCCTTTCAGCATAAATTACTTTCCATCAAATCAGTGGACACATCGGGGGCTAAAATAGTAGGGGGGGTATGGCGAGCAGGGCGGCTGTTGGGTACACCCTGCCACCCCGCTATTACGACGGTGGGAGCAACGCATGCCAGGAGGCGGGGGGTGTGGGGTTTAGTTTTTGAAAGTGCTTGGTTGCAGCGTTGTTTTCCATGGGCGCAGGTTCAAGGTAGGGTTAATCTTTTTGTTGCATCGTAGTTTTCCATGGGCGCAGGCTCAAGGTAGGTACCGGTGCCGGCGCCCGCCCCGATAGCGGTCCACGCAGTTCCGACGCGCTTTAGATTGCCAGATGACCCAGATGCGGGTTGACAGGAATTCAGGTAAGAATATCTTCGAAACCAAAAGGGATGTCGCCGAAGAGCTCTTGGAATATTTGCTTGAGATGGTTGAGGATGGACCCATGGGCGCCTGCAGTTGGTGACGGCAGGGTTACGGCAGCAGTGGATGATGCGGGGATTTGCGATCACGTGCGTGTTGACCTTGTACCCTTCCACAGCGATGAACGAGAACACGGCGCCCAAGGAACTGGTCGACATCCAGGACCCAGCCCGGATGCTCATCAGCCCACCCCCAGAAGAAGAGCTAAACAGAACTAGAATGCTTAAACCCAACAATAACCAGCCAAAACGCAAACGGGGTGGCACACCCTCGAAACAGCCATCCAACGAGCCAGTAGAGCTCACACCAAACCCCAAACCACGCAAGGCTCACCGTCGCAGAACTAGCAGCCAGCTAGCACAGCAGGACTCACCCACTCGCCCCCAGTTCTCCCGCAATCCAAATGCAGACTGGGTCCCCCGCTCCTCCAGCGTCACATCCAGTGTCGGCAGGCGCAGTATAACCCCATACGAGCCCCCCACAGACGTATTCACTCCCCCGCGCGAGATCCTCCTCTCCACACCCGTCCCCGCACCAAAGTCCTCCCGCCCCAAGCCCAAACCCGCCGCCCGCGTCACCCCCCAGCCGCATGCCCGCACAACCACCCCGCTGCGCGTGGTCGTTCACAGCGTGAAGAAGGAACCGCTCCCCGCGATCGACTTGGACCGCCCCATGACGCCCCCGAGCCCGACAGACGACCCCCTCCTGCTCCTACCGTCCTCGAGCCCCGTCAAGCGGCGCCCCAATGGCTACGAGGAGCCTTCCTCGGACGCCGCGTACGCACCCATCGACTGGACGGCGGGTTTGGACATCGTACATGGTGCGTTCTTTGGCTTTCTTGCCCCCTTTAGACTACTAACTCACTTATGTACAGACGACGACCGCAGCTCCGACTCCATGGACCTCGACGCGCCCGCGTCCTTCGATGGGCCCCTCCCCGTCTCCTTTGTCGGCGGTGTGGGCGGGGAGTGGGACTCGGACGACGACGATGCGGACGACGGCCTCCCGCTCGCTCCCGCCTTCTCTGCTGCCCCTGCGCCTCCACCCCAGACCACAACTACCGCTGCGACCGATTCGCACCCGATCATGTCCTTCATCTCCACGCTGCCTCGTCCGATACCCGCACCGCCTACCACACGCACAACTACAACAACTACACCACCCAGCTACACCTATACCACCCTTGTCCAGCCGACGAAGCCCGACCCGCCGACGCCGCGCACACTGGCTCGCGCGGAGGCGTGGGGCGTCTGGGGCAGCCCGTTTCCCGGCCGCGGCGAGGCGGGAGATGGCAGTTTCCGCATGGATGGGCGGAAACGGGGCGCCGAGGCCACTACAATGTCGTTTACATTGGCTGGGGCTGATCCTACTACCATGGATGCCAGCCCACAAGATGCAGAAGAGCAACATGGAGAGCAGGAGGAGGACGAAGACTCAGACGACATGGACGAGGGGGTGTCGTTTTTGAGGGCGTTGAGGGAGGAGGACGCCAAGAAGCGGGAGGCGAGGAGGGCTTCGTCTGTGTTTGGGCCTGGCGCAGGTGTAAACGCGAACCGGGTCCGCTCGCGGTTGGGGTACGAGGAGCCGGAACAGGAACAGCAGGAGGAGGAGCCAGAGGAGGACGAGGACGAGGACGAGGACGAGCAGGAGGAAGCGGAAGTGCGCGCGATGAGCGTCGATCCCGAGCCCGAGCCTGAGCACGAGGAGGAGCAAGATCATGATCAGCAGCCTGCGCAAGAGCAAGAGTTGCAAATCCAGCAAGAGGAGGGACGCCGCTTCGTCGTGCGCACGCCCACGCCCGCGTTTGATTTCGGGTCCAGCGCGAACGAAACGCCAGCGCGTGCGCCGTCTAGAACCCAAGGTGTGCAGACGCCGCCGGCGCGCTGGGCCGGGGCTGCGCCCGTCCGGAGCGAGCTGCGCGGCTTTGGTGGGAGTGAGGGTGCCGAGTCGAGGGTGCAGGAGCAGGCGCATCAAGATGGTCATGACGACGCCATGGAGGAGCAGCAGCAAGAGCAAGAGCAGGGTTTAGAAGGGGAAGAGAAGCGCGTTTACACCGCGCTGGGGACGCGCCCCCCACACACCTTGCATGCATCGCCGAGCAAGGAGCGGCTTCGGCTTGGGGGGAGCGCCACCGAGCATGTGCATCGTGCGAGGAGCAGGGCACGGGCGTCGTTTGCGGCGGTGGACTTTGAGGCTGAGCGTGATTCGGCAGCGGTCGCACAACAAGAACGTGATTCGGCGGTCGCAGAACAACAAGCAGAAGAAGCAGACACATCTGCGGAAGCAGCACCGGAGCCTGAGCCAGACTCGGACGAGGAGGACGCGGCGCTGTTGGGGCTGGTGAAGATTACGAGTGCGGACCCGAGGGCGGCGGCGAGGGCTGCAGCGATTTTGAAGCAGGTGAGTTGGGCGTCAAAGTTTTCATTTTGTCTATCCTTCATCTTCGTCGAGGCGGACAATCCTTTTCACATTACGTTATTTTTTATTCGCTCTCGATAAGACGTCACATACTAACTACACCCCAACCCGACAGCACGACTATGACTGCTTCACGCGCCTGCGCCATTCATCGCGCGACAAGCGGCGGCACTCGTTTGCGGGCGTTAGTAAGACCTCGCCGTCGGCATCGTCGCCGCAGCGCGGACAGAAGAACATCTTCGGCTCGAGGATGCAGGATATCGCGGTGCTGCGCGCTCAAGCCGCCACCTCCACTTCCAACTCCAAGTTTGACTTCAGCTCCAGCTCCGTAAGCGCCGCCAAGGACAAGGACAAGAAAGCGCGTCGACAGTCGGCGCGCGTCGTGGGCGAGCGGGTGTATTTCCCGGGGAGCCCGGCGCCGGTTACGACGGCGCAGTTGTTGGCGGAGGCGGAGCGGGAGGTGGGCAGCAGTGCCAGTGCGGTACGCTCGCCTTCGCGTGTTGCTGACGCTGGGGAGTCTGCGTCGACGCGTACGACGCCGCGGCGGGTCCCGTTGCCCGAGTCTGAGCCGGAGGAGGAGGAGGAGGAAGAGAGCAGCAGCAGGCCGTGGGGTAAACCGGAGTGGAAGGCGCTCGACGCGTGTTTCACGGACGAGCGGATTGCGGTTGCGGAGCGGTTGGGGATGGTGCTCAATTTGTCGCCCGCGCCGGGACCGTTCAGTACGCCCATTCGCCCCAGTGCTACCACTTCGAACGCCAGTGGGAGCAGTGCGGTGATGATGGCCGCGGCGGATGCGGTGGATTTGGGGGCCGTCGTGGCGCGGTTTGTGGATGCACGGGGCGGGGAGAGGGTTGTGGCCAAGTGGGGGCCTGGGTGGGATTTGTGAGTTGTTTCCATTCCATCGGTGTCGGTAAGGAGAGAATCTAACGCACGCGCCAACAGGGACAGCCTGAGGCAGCGTGCAAAGGCGCTGCAGAATAAGCAGCGGGCAGGACACGTCGCGCCACCCACTCCCAATTCTTCTGCGTCTGCCGCCATTGCGTTCCCTAGCCGGGGTGAGGATGGTGGCGACGTGTTTTCGGGGGCGCGCCGGCAGGCGTCGATGGTCGTGCCGGACTTCACGCCGCTGGGGAAGAGAGCGATGCCGCCGCGGGTCAGCAGCTTGCGGCGGAGCGATAACGCCGTGGCGGGGAGCAGCAACCTCCTCGCTGGACGTGCGCGGCTTCCTGCGCCAGTGCTTGCAGGCCCTTTCAGCCAGCTGCCGCCTACACCGGAGCCGTTGAGGAAGAGAAGGGTGCCGGGGTCGTTGTTTGCGCCGCGGTATTCCCATCTGTTGGATGAGGCGGTGGCGGTGAGCAGGAAGGGGAAGGAGAAAGCGGTGGAGGTGGAGGTGGAGGTGGAGGTGGAGGTGGCGCAGATGGACGACGGGGAACCGGAGGAGGAGGAGGAGAGCTTTGAGCAGGAGCAGCAGGGGCAGGAACAGGACGAAAGCTTCTCCACCGACCTCGACTCGAGCCTGGACGTGGACGCGGAGATGGCGCCTGCGACACCTCTGCGCGAACGCGAGGAGGCCGCAC